GAGGGCGCAGGAAGGAGGGCGTGGGCCTTCGCCATGTGCTGGGGAGCGCAGCTCACCGTGGTGGTCTCCGTCTGGGGTGGTGCCGGGCCGCGAGGCGTGGTGTCGGCGCCGCCTCCCGCGTCGTCTTCGTCGTCGCCCGGGACGTCGTTGCGGCCGTCGCCGTCTTCGGCGCCGTCGTCACCGTCACCATTGCCGTCGCCGTCACCAGCGGGCGAAACGGAGAGGACGCCGCCGCCCGCGCCCCCGCTGTCCCTCTGCGCACGCGCGGGCGCGGGCGCGGCCAGCAGCAGCACGCCTGCGCACACGCGCCGCCCACGCACCGCGCCGTCAGACTTCCCGGAGGCAGTTTCTCGCAAGCCTCTGCGCTACACGCAGCACCTTATACGCGTGGTTCCCTTTATGTCCTCAGTAGCCTGAATGCAATGCCATATCACAACATGGAAAACATCAATGAGGGCGGGGATCAGCGGTGGGTCCCAGAATAAATAGCAAAATAATTGAAGAAACAATTATATATTTAAGAATTAAATAATGAGCCGTCATTGCCAACAATATTGTGTATTACAATAGTAGCTTTCGATGGTTTGGCCATCATCATTGTAAACGCCAACGAAAACTCACCACAGTATAAAAATATTTAAGAACTAATTCTAAAAGTCTTTACAATTGTTCCAGATATTTTCTGCAAGTCAGTGTTAGAATATCTTTCCATGGGATCTCAGATTCCTATGACGTTTTTTAAAATTAGTTGTACATTTAATCTGATGCTCCGATAGTACTGCTCACCTGTTCTCTACAGCAATAGATAAGGTGGTAAGTAAGGTTGGTAAGGAAGTAAAACATGTTTATGGACTGCCCCCAGAGTGTAAGAGAACGCTAGAATTTCCACGTAGCGATTATGCTTGTCGAAGGTTTTCAGTTGTTTTGTAAATATTGAATAACCGTGAAAGACGAAAAGATCACTTAGATTTAAAAAAAGATTCTGTTAATAAAAAAATCTTAAACGATGAAACAGTAATTCCTTCCCTATTCAAAAACGAACAAGAAAACTAGGTCAAGAGGCGTATTCCCACTGCAACCCGTGGTTAACTTTCCCTAAGCCGTTTACTTACCACCCCAAAAAGGCATAGTTTTGCTGCACCTATTTCCATTTTCCCCGTTCTTGTAAGAAATGTTTTCTGCATTTACCGTGTTCAGCTCAGTTCGATTATAATTCATCCACCTCTGTTTTTAAGAAACATTTGCGTGTCATTTTAAAGCATTGCCATCGTCGAAAACAACCGCATAAACGTGTGTAGAAACAGAACATGAAACATTCAACGAAGAGCATTATATTTTCCCGCTGTCTTAATACACACAATTCCGATAATTCTGCAGTTTTCGACTGTGTTCGCGGTTTTTTTGGACTAGCACCTGGACTGGAACATCTCTTTGTGCTACTTATGAATGGAAACTTAACAAAAATTTGCGCATAAAATCGTCACCAACCCTGACACTTTGTTTGACGCAATTACGCGCGAGAACATATTCCACGGTCGTAAAGTAATCCAAATTGTGACTATGTTCGAGTGACAATGCATTTTAATAATTAAAGATTGCACCAATCGAGATTCGGACCCGGGCCTTCTGTTTTACGCCCAGCTGCTCTAGCCACTGTGCTACCGAAACAACCAATCCTTTGAACACAGATGATGGGTATTGCGACGTTTACACGTATATATATATATATATATATATATATATACATATATATATATACATATATATATACATATATATATATACATATATATATACATATATATATACATATATATATATATATGTATATGTATATATATATGAGTGTTATCGTGCTCATGAAAACTGTTTAAAGAATTCGTTGTCTCGGTAGCTTAGTGGTTAGTTTAGAGCAGCTGGGTGAAAGCCAGAAACCCTGGGTTCGAATCCGGTCGTGGCAGACAATTCTTTGAACAAATTTAATTTAAACAATTTTGCTCGTTCCTAAACACCAGTTGAAGGAAACAGCATTCAATCAGGCTATGCTTTCTCGGGTAACTAAACGTGAAAGGGGATTGCCTGGGAAGCGGGAGTGGGTAAAAACTGATCACGGGATTCAATCGGGCGATTCCCACGCTGAAGACCGACGCTGATGCCTCCTTATTGGTATGAGACTGTTCATACAATTTTATATAACATATATTGTCGATCTGTGAAATGCATAAGTGCTGACTATTCAATCTTATTTTCGCTTATGATCTCCAGAATTTAATATTGATTTAAAGTATACGTTATGAGACTGTTCATGCAATTCTATACGAAATATATACGTCGATCAGTCAAGTGCATAAGTGCTGTCTATTTGATCTTATTTGCAGTTATGGTTTCCAGAATTTAATATTGATTTACAGTGTACGTAACTGAAGTAATGAGAAGTATACAAAATATAGGAGAATTCACAATAAATTAAATGGAGATTTCGTTAGATAGCTATAACTTCGCAAAGTTCGTCGCAGAAACAGAACAGATGCATGAATTTATTATTTAAGTGCTGAAGTAATGTAAACGAGTCAATAAAATATGCAGTTCACGTGTATTAATGGTTGCATTAAAAATATTGAGTGTTTGCGTTGGCAGGCAGATATTTTGCGAGATAGTTTAGTTCAACACTTATCACATTTTGCGACCCTGCGTTTCAGAAATTTTTTTGTTTTTACTATACAGTTGATTTTCTTGGTTCAGCTCAGAGAACATTACGTAGGATAGCGATCGGTGTGCTTCCTCTTTCCCATTTACTAAATTGAAACGCCTTCATATTTTCCATTGAACGTGAATTGCAAACTCACATTACTCAGGAAATTGTTCGGTATTATTAATTTTATTGATTTGGGCAAAATGAACTGCAATATTTGTAATTGAGGAAGAGTTAAAGAGATGACATTCTGTATGTGCATGTATGCATGGGTGGATATATGGATTGATGAATTAATGATTAGATGATTTTATGAATGGATGCACTTTCAATCATATCTATGGCCTTTATATTTACTGTGTGTTCCATTCGTTATTAATACAATTTAATTAATTAAAATTCATCTTTAATCTTTTTTATTATTTTTTCTTTGATGACGGCCATTTTCCACCGGGTTAATATAATTTATTTTTTAAAGATTCTTCTTTCTTGCCTCAGCATACTAAATTTAAAGATAAGGAGTCAAATAGAAAACTATTTAAGATCGACGTAAATACTCTGCGGAAATGATTAGCGGAAGATTAGCTGAGATTAATGAAAATCGGAAAATTTCGGGTTCTATTTCCAGATTCTCAGATTCTTTTTCCACGGACATCATTGAACTAGTTAGAAAGGTTATTTTACCGAATCTAATTAGGTTATTTAATGTATCTATCAATAAAGCTTGCGTACCGGAAGAATGGAAACTGGTGTTCGTAATACTTAGTTTTGAAAGCGGCAGTAAAACAGTACTTGATAACTATAGACCGATAAGTCAGTGAAAACTCATGGAACTAGTAATTACTAACTACTTCAGGAAACGAAGGACGCGGAGTGGCTTTAGCAGGACCAGCTCAGTTTTAGGAACGGTTTTTCCTGTGGACGTTAGCTTGTCTTTCTTCTACAGGACCTAGCCAACGAAAATGGTGAAGGGTTGATGCATTAGTAATAGATTTTGCCAATGCTTTGATGTTGCCAACATGATCGTCATGTGAAGAAATTAATAGATTCACTATAGACTCAAGGTTGGTAACGAAAATAAATGAAATGCTTACTGACAAAAAACAAAGTCTGAATCGGGAGATATTTATCAATCTCCGGGAGCGTTATGCCAGGAATTCCGTAAAGAAGTGTCATTGGGCATCTCTCATATTTTGCCTTCTTGAATGATTTTCCAAAAAAAATATCTTCATATGAATGATTCTTTGCTGATGACTATATCATTTCTCGGGTTAACAAATCAGTGGAGGACGAAGATAGTTTGCAGTGAGATTTAGAAATATTACACTTTTGGGCGGGAACAAACGGATTCATTCAATGAGCAAAGCCATCACATTTGGTAGGAGTTGAAGTTTTAGTGAAGCTGTGTAAAAATCGAACAACACTGTTATACCTCAAGTCATGACTTGCCAAAACTTAGGAAACACAACTAGACAGTAAATTCTGCTGAGAAAATCAAGTAAATTTTGTTGTGGGGAAATCTTGGAGATCTTTACATTTTGTTATGCGAATTCTGAAGATGAGTAGCATGAGAGATCAAGTATTAGCATTTATATCATCAATGCGATTCATGTTAAAATATACTGTATATTGAGACCCACACAAAATTCAGTGCCAAGTTACCTATAAAAGGTTAAGCTCAGAGCATCAAAATTTACTTTCAGGAATACTAAGAATAGAGGGGTGTGGGAGTCAGTTGCAAAAAGGCGCATTAAGTCGCAAACTCTGTGCTACGTAAAAATGGTAGCAGGCTATGCAGCTTGGAGTGGAATTAGTCGTTGTTTAGGAAAACCTACATACTTCTGGAGAGCGGACCACAAGCACAAAACTGAATAACGAAAACGGACGTTGGGAAATTTTTATTCGCAAACCAAACTATTAGAAAATGGAACAGTTTGCCTGTAACAGTCTTTGAACTTATTCTTCAAAGCCAAACAAATTTTAAAATAAACTCGAATGTTTATATTACATCAATTAATATTGCGGATAATTTCCTATTGTTAAAGTTAAATCCTTTTCATTAGAGTAAGTTGTAAAATTATATTATTATTAACATCATTATTATTATTAACATTATTATCATTATCATTATTGTTATTATTATTGATACATTTTTGTGTTAAGTGGAGTGAAACGAATGTGGAAGGAAAAATTTACTGTTCAGCTTAGTGCATTGAGGTGAGGTGAACTGGACTGCTACACTGTATATTATTTTGTAGAGTAGTAGATTGTTGGTCATTGTAGGTTTAATAAATGTAAAGTTAAGATGCCACCAAGTTCTCACACATGTATGTAAGGTAAAGACAAGTAACACGATGAAAAGAGCGATACTGTTAAGAGATAGTACCACATCCGCGATGATAAATATTAATAACAGATTCCAATTGTATCCACGTACAAACTCCATCAAAGAGCTATCAATTCAGGCGAGAAAATCCTTTTGATGAAAATTATTTTCGATGTTTTGAGTCTGTGGAATCGCGGGGGCATCAAAGTTGACAAGGAATATCTAGTTTAATTTTAGGTATTACCTAGATTGTAGGTTAGGTTGAAGTTAGGTTAGAGAGATCACAGATTAATAGTTTATACGAGTACATTTCTCTCTTGTGTTAGTTATATGCTGTCGTTTAGTGGAAGTTGACGAATGGCCTACCGACGGAAAGTATACGTATCCAGTATACGTACGTATACAAGGAGTAGTATACGGAAAGTTAAGGAAATAGGGGCAGTAAAGGGAAAGTTATGTAATGCTGCGGAAAATCGATTTCCATATTACAACGGATATACACGTTTTGAGGTCCCCACGTACGGAAAAAGCGTGTTTTTTTTCTTCAAAACGACGGTCTGTCCGCCTGGTCTGTCTGCCCGCCTATTCTGTCCGTCTGGTCTGTCTGCCCGCCTATTCTGTCCGTCTGGTCTGTCTGTCCGCCTATTCTGTCCGTCTGGTCTGTCTATCCGCCTATTCTGTCTGTCTGTCCGCCTGTCCGCCTATTCTGTCTGTCTGTCCACCTATTCTGTCTGTCCGCCTATTCTGTCTGTCTGTCCGCCTATTCTGTCTGTCTGTCCGCCTATTCTGTCTGTCTGTCCGCCTATTCTGTCTCTATGTCTGTCTGTGAACACCACTAGCGCCTAAACCATCCACAGGATTATTTACAAAATGAAGAAACCTCTGTCTATCTGGCTCGAGTCGAAGCTTTGAGGATTTGAAAAACTTTCTTTAAAATTGTTTGATTTAACGTTATATGAAGACTGGGACATTTTCAATTTTTTAATGTGAACTCTGAATTTTCGAAAATTGTAAATTTTGAATGTTTTTCGGCGTCTTCCTACAACTACAAAACTAAAGATATGGTCGTTAATGACCTAGATTATCTCTAATTACCTAGATGTTGATGCG